TTAAACCATTTAAGAGACATTTTAAGAAAAGTGCCATGTGAAGTTTCTGTAAAGTCATATTTTCTGAAATGTAAACTTAAAAAAATGTTAACTGATTTGATTTTTATTTAAAGGTCTATCAGAACAACAAAACCCTCAGAAAATACAGTCATTATTGGTGTAGTACGAAGGTAAATACTCGTATCTTTACTTTCACGTCGTCAACAAAATGTAAATCTTATAATTGTAAAAGTAAACACTACATTAAAAAACTTCAATTAGAACTTCTAACTGTGCTAGTGATAATGTGTTATACTATACAGTTTTCACCATCTTTGATCACAAGGTTGGAACAGGATTTTTGATTTCTAGTTTTTACTAAAGAGGTCTCACTTTGGGTTTTGGTTTGGTTTTTTCCCCTCTGTTGATCACTGCAGGCTTTAGGAATATGTTTCAAACAACCTCTGCAACATCATGTACAGAACTGTGGAACTGGTCATAGATCTGCATTTTTGTATTAATAAAAATGACAGTTTGAACCTTGCTTGATCTGTTTTTCAATCTAATTAATCGCAGCACAAACAAGAGAGCTGTTGAGTTACTAAAAAAGATACAGAACAATTTGATAGTACAAAGTAGCAACTGAAAATGGAAGTTTTAAAAGTAAAATAGACTACACTATGACATCTCAGTAAGACAATGGATATGTTTTTTTTCCTCCTCCCTCTGAAAACATAACTTATATGTCATAAAATAATGTAAAAGTAACAAAAAGGCAATATATTTAATCTAAAATGAAATAACTGGAAGATAATTTCCTCAAAGTACAGTTCTGGGAATGTCCATTTCTCAGAAAATATTTATTCTGAAAACTAATTCTGAAGTGTGGAAACTTCCCATTAAAAATCCTATTTTCCACCACCATCTCTAGCAAACAAAAGACCCTAAGTAAACATTTCAAGGGATTCGATTGTGAATATGATCTTCAATGTTTTTATGTCAGGAAGTCTTCTGACTATGGTAACCATTGCTTTTACAGTCAGAATTGTCTCTCATCAGACTAACACAAAAGAAAAGAGAAAAAATGAAGTGAGAGAGCAAACAGTAACTGAAGAGGTGCTTCATGTACATCAGAGAGAAAGACACCTGTGGTTCTGTGGGCCAGCAGTTCCTTTCAAAAGTGAGGAGAGCTTGGAAGCTGGGCTTGCTGACTCACAATTAGGAAGTTGCTCAAAAGGGCTTTTTCCCTGCAATTCATTTTTGTCTTTTCAAAATGTTCGCGTAGTGTGTTGGGACAAGATAATAGCCCCCTGTGGTGACAATATCTCAGAAGCTTGAGTTCTCAGACTTTTCAGATGTGTCTATTATCCCTGTCTGCTGAAAACTTCAGAAGTGAGTTTGCCTTCCACTGGGACTGAGTTGACAGTGTTGAGTTCCCATTTGCCAAACACAAAAGTTCTCGAGTTGCCACTTGGGATTTCACAGACAGAGAACTTTCCCACATTTCCTTTCTTGCTGCAAGAAGGATATTTGTGAAAAAGCCTGACATTTAGCCAATAGCATATGGAGGGTCTTCTCCTTCATTTTCCTGCAGTTCAGTTCCTTGGTTTTGGGGTGTGGGGTTTTTTTTGGGGGGTGGTTCCCCCCCCCCCCGCCCTTCTCTCTCTTCTTAATCTTGGGCAAACCTTGTACTTTACTAGGCATCATTCTTTTCATGCATGTGAAACAAGTCCATGGAAAATAAAAAGAAGAGTTGCCATGAGATCCAAAATTTCACACATAAATAAAAGCTATTGTGCCATCTGCTAAATTTGACCAGCTTCCATCTGCTCATTTACAGAAACTTAACATAATGGCCTTTCTTCCAAATTCCAGCCATACATGCACATATGTTGGAATGTCTTTTAACAGTTAGTATAGCCAAGTTTTTCAAAATTATTTAGATATCTCATTTTAGGAGTATGTAATCCCAAAGTGACCTACTAGGAGGCACTGGATAGGCAACACTAGAAAATCTGTCCTCATTTAGGCATCTTGAGTTGCCCACTTAAGATTTGGTACACTCAGATAACAAGTAATTTATTAAAACTTCAGCCGTGTGGACTTTCAAGTGCATCTTTGGCTAAGGACGGCATAAACAACAAAGAATCCAGTATCAAAAAAGAAGGAATAGTCCAACATTCTAGTTAGTTAGTTAATTTGTTTTCCTGAAGCATTAGTTTTTTGTGATGTAAGCAGCTCATTACATGGAAAAAGGAAAATAACATTTTAGCTTATCCATTCCAAAGATCAAAGCTTGTAAGAACCCAAAAAGTAGGTTTTTTTCATAGATCCTGTATAATCTAGCTGTATTAGCCTTTAGTGTGACATCCGGGTCACAGGTATGTGAATAGCTTGTGAAATGGAGTCTCAGTTGATGACAGAAATAATCTCTGACTTTATCATCCTCCTTTAAAAGGCATGCTGACCGTGAAGAGTCATCAATATTGCCCCTGATCTCTGCTGGCTTCACAAGGGTAGGTATATTTTATACTCCCCTAGATTGGTCTGACATTTCAAAATTGTCATGCAAGAAGCTATCCAGAAATTTGGCTGTCAGTGACCTTTTGTGTTGGTAATCCAGCCTGTAAATCTTGTTCATGCTGCTCAGTCTTACCTATATCACAATTCTGAACTGCCATACACCAGCAGAACTAGAATAATGCTGACTAAGTGGGTGGACATTCTCAGGAATACAAGAAGCGGTGCTGAGACTTTTCTACTTCATACATTTGTTTCAGAGTAGTACATGATGCTCTGCTTGAAAAGTTGACATTGACAAAATTGACTAGTGACTGTAGCAGAGCCAGAGAGCACCTTGCAATGAACAACAGAATGTGCTGTGGGAAATCTCTTCTTTCAAATGCCAGTTCACATCTGTAAACAGGCTTCAGACACTGTCAAGTGCTGTTATCCATTGTTTGGAGGCACCTGAAAAGTATGACATTGAATCTGTTCCTTGGCAACTATTCCAATTAAGCAGGAAAGGTGCTTATTAGTGTGTCAGTTAAGTGGATTCCTCATTACATTAAGCTGACAATGGAACAAAAACGTGCATGATTGACGGTGTGATTCAGAGTATTTGGCTGCATGCTCACTAGATGTTTTGCTATCCCATCACAATCCATTTGCACCTATTTGCTTATTTGTAGTAAGATCCTAATACAGGAAATTCTAGAGCCTGAAAATAACCATACTTATATGTATAGAATCATTCCAGTGGGCACGTGAGTATTCTAACACAGATTCTGAATTATTTATGGATCAGAGCCTTGGAGATGGGACTAATGGCAAAGCATAGAAAATTTTGTTTAGCAGCCTTGTCGTGGTGGCTCACCTCTGATAATCAGTCCGCCCTCCCAAACTATCCATGTCTGTGGCAGTTTAGCATGAACAAAGATTTAACATTCAGGGTCATACATGATAAATATGAGAGGTTTTAAAAAAACATGAAAGATGCTGAGGTTATTGCTATACCAGCCCCAAAATGAATAATTGTATCCAATGGCAGTGAGGTTTGTCACGAAGTTTTGCTTTCTTATATGTATACAATTTGGAATATTAGTTATTGCAAACTCATAATAATCTCAAATTCCTATGACTTGAGACGCAACATAATTTTTTCCACTGTTATTTTCAATAAGTACCATGAAAGCATATAACTTCATTAAAAGAAAATTATTTTACATGTTGATCATGCTGACAGTCGCAGAGAATAAACAGATTGATTGATCTGTCACCTTTTTAAAATGCAGTAACCTGAAGAATTTTCCTAGTCTCAAAAAATAATTGTCTCATGTTGCTTGTGTTAGCAAGCAACCTCTTTAGTTCTTTATCAAGCAAAAGAAAACCGAGCTTCATACCCTTGAGTATGGAAATGTGTATTAATTAAATATTTCTAACCTTCTATTTGCAGAGATATGTAGAAAATTCGAATATAATGGCCTGTTACAATGAGTTAATTCAACTGGAATTTGGAGAGGTGCGGGCACAATTCAAACTAAGGTAATTTTACCAAAAACATTATTAACAAAAAAATACCAATTCAGCCACATCCTTAAAAGAGTATTTATTTTGCTATACTGTAGTTAATTATAGAATGTTAGTTACAGGAAGAAAATACGTTAGTCATCAAAGTACTACTTTATTCAGTATGGAGTTGTAATACCTCATTGTCATATATAATAAGAATTACAGGGATTAAATTTAATCAGATGCTTTTTTTGTTTTTCTGTCTTCAGGGCGTGTAATTCATTATTTACAGCATTGGAAAAAAGTCAAGAAGCCATTGAGATCACAAGTGAAGACCATGTAATACAGGTTTGTTCCAGTGATAAGTACAGAAGAGCGCTCTGTGGACTTGACTGTATTTTATTTCATCCATTGATTACATTTATTCGTCCTTGTATAGTACAAGAATCTAACCTAGCTTAATGATTCTAAAAAGATTGGAGTGAATTTAGCTGTGCAGGAGGATTTTTTCCATTTAAAATATCTTGCAGAGATCGTTGTTTCTGAATGAATAAGTATTTACTCTGTTTTTATTTTTCGTAATGATTCTTATCTCTCATGAATGAATGCAGCCACTTGCTTGTCTGCATTCTTTTGCAAAATATTGTGTGTTAATTTGATGCTCCTGAAAAGCAAATCTAATTGATGTTCTATTTAAATAAAGATAGTACACTTTTTTTTTGCATAAATCTGATACTATTTGATGCATTGGGATTCTTCACCCAACAATTTCTGAATGTAATCTTCACTTAAAAATTCCTTTAAAAAAAGGGAAAAGAAATTGTGCTTAGGTTTGCAGTCCTGAAAAACGTCATCTTTGTAAAGGAGTTAGTTCCATCCCTAGCTATGAAGGCTGTGAGGAGTGATTTTATTATCAGTAAAGAGCTTGAGTCTAAGCCTCTGGGAGTTATAACATGCATATAAATTGTACCCTCTTGACCCAAATCTTGACAATGGCAATTTCATTGAAGGATGTGCCTTCTTCATCCCTTTTGCAAAAAGAACAAAACACATTCTGAAGTTGTTTTAAATGTGGGGTTTTTTTCAGTTCAAATTTTGTCCCTCTGCATACAGCCCCAGAGTGCGAGAGAACCGACATGTGCAAGAGTCCTGAAGCTCCAGCAGGCAGGGCTTTCCAACATAGCAGGGGATCTTCTAGGGAGGAACCTTTAGGGGGGAACCTTTAGGAGCAGAGGGCAGCCAGTGGCACCCTTTTCCTTCCTCTCATATTGAAACATTGTAAGTTGTGAGGCATTCAGATGCTGTTATTATGGGACCTATGTCCATAACTCAGCTAGCAAAAGGGTCATGAAGGTGCAGGCTATGGGTACCAGTCTTCAGTTTTGTTGGGCAAGGGCCACAGAATTGCAGCAAAATACAACACTCAGTTCAGAGAGAAAGTTGCTTTATTAGATTCCACTTCTTCCAGCCTGCTTGGCTGGGCTTTGCCTGGACAGGGGAATAGTGATGGTTGGCCCTTACACACAAGATGATGAATTTATCAATAGATAGGGTTAATATTCCTATGGTATCTCGCCATCTATTTTGTGATTTTTAGGAACACTGAGGTAGGTTTGAGGTTTATAGGTGTGAGAACTGACAGAGACCATTTTTCAGGAATTTATGTTGTCTGTCTAAAGTCTGTGGATAGGTAATACTCAGCTGTTTCCATAATTTCCCCCTCTCTGCTCACATGCACACACTCTGCACAACTCTTCTAGCACAGACATTCCTGTTTTGCTTCACAAAGTAAAAAATGTAGGCATCTCTTTCAGGAGCAGTACATACAGAGATTTATTTCAGGCTGGGAAAGAGATCCCTTGCTTATCAAGTAGAAAAAAGATGGATTCTGTTGTGCTTTAAGTGTTCTGTTGAATGTTTTTTGTTTGTTTGTTTTTATTTCGCAGTACGTCAATCCTGCTTTTGAAACAGTGATGGGCTATCAAATAGGTGAACTAATAGGAAAGGAATTAACAGAAGTGCCTATAAATGAAAAAAAAGCTGATTTCCTAGATACTATTAATTCCTGCATAAAGATAGGAAAGGTGAGTAATGGCATTGTGTCACTTATAATTTTCTACTTGTAAAAGTTACTATTGTCCAGGGATGAGACATGATGTAGCTTGCAGCTTCACAGACACATAGCATTTGCAGCTTTCTTACTCAAATAAGAAGAAAAAGTTAAAAATGCTCATTTTTAAGGGCTTCTTTCTCTTTTCTTGCTTGAAAGAGGTACATGCTTTTTGAAAATAAGTGGCGTGCTGTGTTTCTCTATCATATACACTGTATGTAGCAAAAAGTGTGGGAATACCAAAGAGAAATGGGATGGATGCACATGTTATCCAGTGTGATGTAAATGAGAAAAGAACCATGTTGAAATATTTCAGCATAAAATGTGGAAGCTAATTTGCAAGTTCAGAATGTAAAAATATCCAAAGAGACATTTGCAATATCACTTGAGAATGATAGGCAGTGTCAGCTGCCAGCTGCCAGTATCTTTTATTCTCTAATGACATTGGAGCTGTCTAATGGACTTCCATTAGAAATGTTTGTTGCACCAAGAAAGTGCATGAGGAAGTGCAGCTGGCTTCGAGGGGAGGTCATTACAGAGAGATGTTACTGTTTGCCTGATAGCTCCATGATGTTCCTTTGGGGCTATTGTGGCTGTAGTGTGAGGATCCATCTAGGAGCTTTCATTTGCATCTTGACAATGAGGTATAAATGCTTCTGATGTCATTGAACACGTCATAGTACCTTATAGGAAGAAGATCATGGAGGTAACACAAAGAGATTTGGGAATTGGTGTATTTGTAGATGCGTCATGGCCCATGCTCAGGCCTGAGTCAGGATAGCTAGTTGGGTCATACTGACTGTCAGCAGGGAAGCACCGTGTTATTGACAAGAAGCAGAGAGATGCTAAAATGAATCATGGCACTCTGTGTATCTGGGCAGTGATGCGAAAGCACTGATGCAAAGCTGTGCTGAGTCGTACTGTGTAAATCGGGGTACTAACCCAAGCATCCATCAACAAAAGCTGCACTCTAGCTGCGTGCAGGTCGCACGTGCATTTCAACAAGAGCATGTCACTCATTTCTATGTGCATTGGCCTTTTGGAAGAGATCCCAGCAGTAGACAATAGCTTGGATCATGGTGCTTCACACCTCTATTACCTGATGAAAATTATTTCAGTAAATGTGTGTAATACAAAACTGATGTTATGAGGGAGTATTTATTAAGTTATAATTCAAATGCATTAGACATGTCAAGCTTTAAATTGACAACATCAATTCTCAAGATATGAAATGACCAAATTTATAGTATTTTAGTACGCTGATAAAAATGTCTTTAATAACAGAAGTATGTTTTAATCTGTGGATGATAGAAATCTAACCCTAATGCATCTCTTTCTTTGCACTTACTTTACTCCTGGCTCTAGGACTTCCAACTGTGAGGGCTAATGAAATACTACTTACTTAAACCCGTCTGTCTGGAACAACTTAAGCTGTTTTAGGTAGATGTGTTCTGTTTACATGTTTTTTCTGTTTCCCTTTGGAACATTTTATAGTATGCAATCTATGTAGCCTTTTATATTAATAGAAAAATGAATTGCAAATTAAATTCTTACAGGAAGTATTTGCGAGTAGAGGTAGACTGTGTGGAACAACCTTTGAAATACTACAGCCCATTGAAGGTGCTTTAGTTTGAAGTAATTTGTGTCAGGATGTTACAGCATTTTCAGAGGTGCCTAACTTGTGTCTGGATCATTCTGACATGGTCTGTGTGTTGTTTTCAGGTTGTGATTTCTTTATAGCCTAAATTTAAAAGACTGCTTCCCATTACAATAGGCTATATATTGTCTACTGTAGGTTACAGCATGCTGAAAAAGCCAGCTATCTGCTGCTGTGATACTCTCCTGTTAACAGGTTTGGCTTTTCTGTTTTGAACAAACATGGTAATATAACAAAAGTAATAGAAAGCAAGATTTTCTGGTCTTTAGAAAAATGTAAGCTGTATAAAATCTCCCTCTAGTCTTTAAATGGAATTTAGGAAGATGAACTCTTGCAGCATTTCTTCTCTTGTGCTGAGAAACATAGTGCTGTGAGCAAGTTCAATATGTCCAAACAAAAGTTCATAGGCATTATACACAAAAATTGCTAGTTGCATGGTACATAGGGATTCTTATGTTAGGATGCTGTTTCTCTTAGTAAAAAAAAATCTGTGGAAGTTCATTTTTTTCATTACTACAGCTGGCTGTAATTTGCAAGAAGCCAGCGTTATTGAAAGACGTTTTCACCCAACCATACTTGAGGAGTTAAAAAACAAGTTGTAGTTTCTTCCTTCTTCTGTTTCATAATTCAAATTACATCCATTAAGATGACACGTGCAATTCTGACTAGAATTCCTGCTGCCTCTGATCTCTGCAGTTTGACACAAAGCTCGCTGTCTTAGTTTTGCTTTTTCTGAATTGAGATTGATAGCTATCTATAAATCAGACAAGACATGCAATTCCTCTCACTCCTTGGGAGTTATTTGCAAGACAGCTATCTTGACAGAGGGGTGGGAGAGTGATCAAGCACTATGATAAAGATCTATGGCAACTCCTTCCTAACTCAGCCTCACTTTCTGTGAGATTGTTTTCATGACATCTTGTGTTCGTTTTGGTTTGCTCTGTTTTCTACAAGTAGCTTGCTGAATTTTACTGTCTAGTGCAAGAAGCCCCAGTCTAAAAGGAAGGCTGAACTGGGGGATTACTTGCTCTGCATGTGTGAGTGCTCAGTGGATAGATGCATTCCATGGCTGCCGTAATGAGATTTGGAAGCTCAGCATTGATTCGCTCTATAAAGGGTGAAACCGTTTTTTTTACTGCGTATGGTTTTTACTCTGCATTCAATCCCAGCACGCCCAGCCACGCAGAAAGGACTGATCGCTGTACTTGTGTGGCTGTAATGTAGACATAACCATGAGCTTGACTGACAGCACATCCTGTGAAGTAGCTCTTCTCTGTTGGATTGCTGACAGAGGCTCTGTGAGAGCATATGGTGTTCTTAAAATATGTTTAAGTAACGTTCCTGGGAGAACTTTACCTACCAGCAGGAGTTTGGCTTGGACCTCCTATTTCTCAGAATTCTGCTGACCTTTTCCCTCGCATATTTCCTGCCACAGTTTCACAGGTTTTAGAAATTCACAAGTTGAAAAATCGATCTGTTGACTAAGAACACCACATTAGTGAATAACCTATCTTGAAACGGATGTACTTTCAATGGAAGAATTATCAATCTGTACCTTCTGCCTTCACTCCTTTGTGCATATTTCAGGTTTATTACCTGGGTTAGAGATCGATTACTCATCTCTGCCTCATCCTGGTTGTCAGGAAACAATTGATATGCATACTTTTAATTATAAAAGCATTGAATTTTGTGGTGTTTGCTTTATCTTCATTTGTATTCCTCATGCAGCTTACAGGAGAAGATACTATGCTTGCTTCCCAAATCGTTATGCACAGTTCCTTTCTCCGACAGATCCTTGGAAAAGCCTTTCATATTTTCTTCTACACAGCCTGTCACCGTGCAGCTCTCTGTGGGCTGGAGTCTTTGTTTGCTGGCTCCATCAAAATAAATGCAAAACTCTTCTCTCTGTACCTGTGCTTTGGCCTGCTTGACTGCGAGATCTGTCAGTCTAACGTAAATAAATATGTATCATTGTGCCTCATGAAGGTATTTTCACATATGTTTGTAAGATCTGATCTAAAGCCTGTTGAACTCAGCTGAAAGAGAGCGATTGGCATGGGTAGCTTGTATTAAGTGAATATGCAATATGGAATCAATTAATTATTAATCACTTGGTATTTATTAAACGCCCAGCTCAAAATACACATCTCTTAAAAAAGACCAACAACAACTACTCCAGGGATGGAAATGTGTAGGCAAGATTGTAAATCTTGTCAGCTGCCAGGTTACAAAAGACTGGCTCTGTTGGAAGGTTCCTGGCCTCTGTGCTGCTGCCAGAAATGAAAGGGGGAGAGCCAGGGTTCCCAAATTTTGCTTTCCCTGACTTTTCCTAAATAGCCCTGGGAGAGGGCAACTCTAGTCCAGATACCACACACAGGGGAGACCCGAGGTCTGTCAGCATTGTGGTGTATGTCTTTGCTGTGGTATCTGTAGCACAGTTTGGGAAGCAGCAGCAGCAGCGTGGTGAGGGGACTGGGGGGAACAGGTAAGGGCTGTGCCCCAGTGTCTGCCGGAGCCACGATTAGCCGTGTCTGCGTGCGTCAGCGTGAGAGCTCTCCTCCTTCCCAGCGGGGCTGTGGGCTCCACTGCAGGGAGGTGGTTTGGGGCTGAGTGTTAAACCGTTGGTGGTGCTTCTGGATTTAAATCCCCAAATAACAAAAGTGTTTGTTGTAACAGTATTTCATTTAAAAGCATGTCTTAAATAAGGGAGAAGAGACATTTCCTGAGTGTTGTTGAAGAGAAAATGAGGCTCTGCGCTAGAAAGAAATGTCTCATTTCTAGAGGAAAAAAAAAAGACTTCTCACTGCAAAATGAAAAATTTCTTTCTACCTTGTCTTTTTTTTGCCATTTATGAATTCTATCAAAAAGCAACGATACTGGCAGTGACAATCTGATACTTCAAAAATTGCCTACTTAAATGTGATCCTGAAACCAGAGTGCACTTTGAGGGGAGGTCAGCAGATGGGAGGCAGAATCCAGTAGCTATTCCATTAGGCTCTCTTTTGCTTTAAAAAAGCCAGGATAAATCTCTGATGCTTTTCGAGACTGAACGGACAGTGTGGAAAGTAAATGTGCTAAGACAATAAAAAACATTTAGTCACAGAGATATTCAGTGTTGACCAATGGTAAGAATTCCCAACTCTGCAGGAGAGATGGTGCAGTCCAGAAGTGAAGGCAGACAGGTCGGGTTGGCATAATGTTTTTTCACCAACCTTCCTGTCCTGGAAGGAGTCAGTGCAGTCTGGGAAAAAGTCGGGCAGGTCAACGTGGCAGTCCCAGCTGTGTGGTGCCTGGTCCTGGGGCAGGGCAGGGGGCTGCCCTGCACTGTCAGAGCCTGCAGGCACTCCTGGAGCCTCTGGGAGACTCTCCTCCAGGCAGGGCTGGTCTAAGCTCTTGCTCTTGCAGAGGTCTTTGCCAGGTCTCCTCCCAGTGAACCCCAACATCATTGAGGTAGGACTGGGAAGAGAAATACGTGGTTCTGATTCCCACAGTACCTGAAGTTCAGCTGTTGCCTTTGCGGCACTCACAGGCTGCCCCTCTGGAAGTTCTCTGTGCATTGGCAGCAATACAGTGACCTACAGGTTAGTTGCAGGGGAGAAATTTGAAGATAAGAACAGTTTAACCAGTCCTGACTGGTTTTGTATTTTAAGACAGCTTTCAATGAAAAAAAGTATAGAAGCTACAGCTTCTCTTCCTGTTTTATCTGAACTTCCTTCTGCTTGAATTCCTTTTTCAGGAATGGCAAGGAATGTACTATGCGAAAAAGAAAAATGGAGATAGCATACAACAAAATGTGAAGATACTACCTGTCATTGGACAGGGAGGGTGAGTATGAAAGCTAAAACCATGATTTAGCTCTGAATCAAGGCTCAGTTTAGAGTTCAGTTGCTTTCATCAGACATCGGATTATCCTGTTACTGAGTATAAAGGAAATTTATGCAAGGAAGGAAGCCTTAGACCTCTAGATTTAATTCCTTGGGGCAAAGTCAACTTTACATGCTGTGTGCAGGGAAAGTGAAATTATCCTAATTTTCCCCAAAAAGGAGCCAAAGATCCAGATGTGCTCACTTGTGACTTTACTCTTCTAACACTCCCTGAAGTGCAAGTGCACCCTCCTCTCTTTCTGTGCATTGTGTTGGAACCACCAGGACCTATGTCCTTTTCCACTGTGCACCTGTACTATGTCCCTCCATGCTCATCTACTAATAATGGGTGTTGCTGAGTGTCTTTATGTGATGAGGTCACTGTGTGTTTTGATCCTGGTCAAAATTGAAGCATGTCTTCATTCTTGTGCAACTTCCACTTGGTCCCCAAATAGAGCATTTGGAGCACACAAGTATATGTTATTGGTACATTTATGAGGAGTCCTTCTGTACTATATTGGAAAAGAAAGTGGATCAGATTGCATACAGTAGTAGTTTCAAAGCCCTCTAAGGCAACACGAACATTAATTAAAAGCATGGCACATTATTTTCCAGACTTGACTGAGACAATCATTTAGAAAGGTGTTTCTTCATGAAGAAAAGGCCAAATGCAGCTTCGTCATGCAGTTACTTCCTAAAAAAAGTGGTTTGAGTTGATTTCATCCCTGGAAATAATTCATGTTCTTTACCCTCCGTCAATAGAGTGAAAACATATTTTCAGCCTAAGATGGCAAACTCCTAAGACCAGTATGTATTACATACGTTGCTACTTATTCAACAGCCTAAGTCCATTTCAAGCTGGCTTAGAAAGTTTCCTGGTGATCAAGGGGGTAGTTTACAGTTCGATTGCTCGATCCCTAAATCCTATAGTAGGTTTTGATTGTTGGACTGCACTGCTCTATGTTTCACGTTTATATCATAGCTGAAACATCCTACAGTAGCCCAGAAGAAGCTGAGGGGTTGCAGAAAGAAAGAGGAGACAATCTTTCCACAAAATGCTTCTATTTTATATTCCCCATCACGTGCAGAACTGTGGGGTTTTTTCCATTCCCAGTTGAGCCTTCCTGCCAGAACAGGATTTGTCCTATACTAATTTTGTGTATCAGCACTGAATTAGAGCTGAGGTTTGGATGGGAATTAACACATTGTTTTTTGCCTACAGAAAGATTAGACACTATGTGTCAATTAGTAGACTGTGCAATGACAACAATAAGGTAAGTGAAAATAGTGCTATGCTTGCTTTAGTTTGAGCCCTAAATATTACGAAATAATGGGAAAGTTCTAATTAACTGGATTTCTCATACTGATTTGTAGGCAGAGAAGACATGTGAACGTGTTCAGGCTGAATCTCAGACAGGTATGACACACCTCTTCTTCTGTCCTAATAAGTGGAGAATGTACCTGGGGA